TTAAAGAGTTTTTTAACTTTTATTTTAGAATGAAACACCACAGCACATAAATGTCTTTTTCATCCTCCATGAAAGTCAAAGTATTTTATGTCTCTGTAAATATCTTTAAATCTACATGAGACATATGGAGTAAATGTTTCTGCACTTTAGACAACAAACTTGCTTTTTTTATTTAAAGGCTTTAGAAGAAAAGAGCATTAGCACTAAACTGGTGTTAGTTTCCATTCTGTTCTGTGGATTACATAAAGAAAACTGAGTAAATTTGACAATAATTTTATCTGATTTAAATGAGAGCATTTGTTCTACAAAAAAGTTAAAAGAACAACCAGAACTTTCAAATCAGTTTATACAAATATTAAAGCAGAAAAGCCCAAACAAGTTTCCATTTTCATCTGGAGAGATATTCCTGTGTCGTTAAAGTATAAAATAAAACATCAGCAGTGATATCCTCTATTGCTCCTAGAACACAGACACAGGACCTTATCTACCATAATTTGAAATAGAAGAATAAAGCAGGTTTGGAAACCAAAAACTGCATGCAAATAATGGGTTTGTTACAGGGGATCTACTAAGATTGTATGTGCCATTTATATGTGGTGCACAGTGCTATATTTAAATCAGGATGGAGTTGAAAGATATAGTTGATAATGACAATGATTTTTATTGATTGATTTTGATAATTATTAATTATACAAGTTTCACAAAGTTACAGTTACAGTTAGAAGAAGAAATACTAAAACATGGAAAATTCAGTCCTACAGACTCTTATTACCATGGAATCAATCAACACATTGTGATAAGCAGATTATTGAAATTAAGTTATGTGATTCAATTAAACAAAACCCTTAAAAACAATGTAGGCCCAATGAAAGCATAGATTTTCAATATAACACAACTGTGCTGGTCTGCTAGAGCAAGTAAAAAGACCATGAGGAAGAAAAAACTTCCTTTTGACTCGGTCCTCAAAGGTCTAGACTTCACTGCTTTCTATTTGGCTAAATAATAACTTGAGAATCAATTCTCCATTACCAGCATAACTCATACTCAGTGAGACTAGAATGGGAAAGAGTTATCATGAGGTTGTGAGAAAAGAAGAATTTCAAAGCAGTGCTGCATACAACTGATGAAAGATGGGAAAAGGCCTACATACTGTACAGACTCAGAAAGGTAGAGGTAGAAGGGTTCCAGGAAGAAGCCCCCCTTTTTAAAGCCCTAAGAACAATGATGATTGTTATTAAAAGTACACACCATCTTCACGAGCAGATAAAATGTGTCAGGGAGTTATTACAGGAGTAATGCATAATGCAGAGAGCTCCCTAAATGCACCACTGAGCGTTATCACAGGCCATTCCTCCCAGAAGCTGTAGGACTTTATAACCAACAACATCAATTAGTTGTTACATTCAGGCTGATTTTGCACAGTTTCTGTCTTAGTCAGTTAAATAACATGCTGCTGTCATGTTTGCACCTCTCTGATGTTGCTGCTATTTTCAAATGTCCGTTGCTGTAAAAATGTCCATAGCTATATATTGGTTATTTAGTCTCCAGGAGCACAGTTTTTATATTGTAAAAACACTTTACAGTACAGTATTTTATTGTATATCTTAACTCTTCACTGGTATGTTTTTCTTACACATTTTCTAAGGTCCATATTTGTGTGAACATTTTTTCTATAATCTTTGTGCTGCTGTAAACACCAGAATTTCTCCATTGTGGGACAATAAAGGGGATTTCTATTCTATTCTATTCTAATATACAAAGGCAAGGAGACACTGTCACTGTTGGTTTCTAAACCAGCTTTGTGTTTGCAATGATGTTTGTCTGTATTTATGCATTAAAACCTTCAATCCACAGAGTACAACTTTGGAAAAAAAGAAGGATACTAGGACAGTGGAACAAAGACATTAGAACAGTATATAGTGTCAGAAAGAAGAGAGAAAATCTATTTGGGTTTACAGAACTCAGCAGTGTCATTCATTCCAACCCAAAGTCCAGCATATAGTGGTTGATGAAATGTGGTCTTGAATCTGTGGAGGAGAGTCATGGTTTCAGAGACACTGTAGAAGGAAAGAATACCAGCTGAGTGATCCAGGTACACTCCTACTCTGGAGGACGGTGGAAATTTGTAACCGGTCCACCTGTTGTTATGACCAACTCTAAAAAGATTACCGTAACACTCTAATGACCAAGATTTATCATTATATCCAAACACACTAATTGGTGCACTTACTGTTTTGACATTCTTGTATGCTACTGCAATAAGAACTTTTTCCATCCTCACTACCCACTCCACCTCCCAGTAACAACGTCCAGTCAGATGCTGTCTACTAAGGACTTGAGTAGGAGAAAAAAATCTGTCTGGATGAGGAGGATAAGGTTGATGTTGATTCCACCTTGTCACCGTCCTGTTTCCATTCAATAGTACTATCCACACATGCGCTGTGTTTGGATCTAGTGTGATTTCACAATAATGTTTCAAGAAACCAGCTCTACTCCTTGGTTCTGGCCCGGAAAGCAAAACCTCAACCTCAGCGACTGCCAGTGAGATGTTTGTCCATGTGTCTCTCA